TAGAATTAAACAAACAAACCCACAAAACTATGAACAATCTGTAAACTGTATGATACTAAAGGCAAAAAGGCCCAGAAAACCCAGAAGAACCTTCTCAGCAGGCATCTTAGAGGGCATGCTAGTTGCAGAAATTGCACATCCAGGGCAGGTGAAGATAGAAACAAATAGCTTGGGCAATAGAAAAGCACACAAAGTTTTTACAGTCAGGGCCACGAAGCTCTCTCCTACAAAGATGGAAAATTGTGCAACAGTAAGAGGAGTTAATACTTTTTGCAATTGAAATACCATTTATGACAAAGGTCTAAGAAAAGGTGACATGAATGAGTATCAGGTGTTGAGCTACTGGGAGAAGAAGAGATACAGTTAAGAGACAGGAGACCAGGCAAGAAGACAGGAGTGTCTGTCTCCAAGGATAAAGATGTGCTTTTTGCTAATTGCTCTAACAAAAGCCTAGGGAGGTGGAGTTAACAAAGAAACCAGAGGCTGGTTAGCCATGTTAATTCTTTGTAATTAACTGTATTTCCTAATTTACTTATGTGTGAACTTAAAATATCTCTTTATTATACTCTACCTAATTCATTCTTAAATGGATTTTTTTTTTCCTTTACAAGCATGGACTCCTCCCAGCTCCATTTTTATGTGCTGTGAGACTGACAAGTTGCAGCTTATGCTCTCTTGCCTCAGTTTCTGCAGCTATCAAATGGGGAGAACATACTTCACCTCATAGGATGGCTTGAAAATAAAATGAACTAGTATATGTTATTTCCTTAGAAGAGGGCATGACAGAGTTAGGGCTCAATGATTATTGACTATCATTATTATTTATTAAGTCCTAAGCCAAAAGTACACATTCAGGTATTTTAAGGAAAGATACCTGAAATAGGAGGATTTAATCACTCCATTGGGACTCAGAAAAGACAGATCATATCAATGGGATGCATTATTTTTAGGTGCTCCATTCCTTAACTAGGGGTAATAACATGAACATTGGATAGAATTTTAAGTAGTCATAAATGAACTTCAATGTATTTTCTTTATTTTTCTTTTTTTTTTTTTTTTTTTTTTTTTTTTTTTTTTTTTAAATTTTTTATTGTGGGTTGTTCAAAACATTACAAATTTCTTGACATATCATATTCCACACTTTGATTCTAGTGGGTTATGAACTCCCACCTTCATCAATGTATTTTCATACAGCCAAGAAATGAACTCTTTGGAAATAGAAAATCCATTACTTTGCTTCCAGAAATCTCATCCATTTTCTTGGATCCTTTTTATTCTCACTTACTTTGAAGGCCAAGTCCACATTAGTAGTTCCTGGATATATAGTCATAGTCGTAGTGGTGTAGCTGAATTTCATTCTTGAAGAGTTGATTGAGGAGTTGAAATTAATTTGCAGCTTTATTGTTTATTTAATTCCATTAAACGGAAGTACTAGAGTAAAATTAAGATATGGTAAACTTGTAAAATACTGAGGATCAACTAGAACTCATTAAGAATGGGAGTTCATCCTTAAAAACAGCCTTAATATAAAAGTGGTTTTTCCCTCCAATCATTTGTAGTAGTTTTTAATATGCATTTTGAAGATTTCTTTTTTTATTTCCTCCTCTTCTTTATGTACCCTTCTTCCTTCTACTCCTTCCTTGAATGGCATTTCTGCAAGGAAATACTATTAAAAAACACAATTTGTCATAGATGATGGCAGTAATCTCCAAAAGCAATGCATTTTTAATAGCTTTCTTTGAGGATGTATCACAGACATGTAAAATAAATAAATTTGACTCATGTTGTTGACTGAGTATTTAAAAAATCAGTTTCTTGTAATTTTGCCCTGATGTTGTTTTAAAGTGAGCCATTTCTGTTCTCTAGGCCTCGGTGTTCTTATTTGTGAAATCTGGACTCAAATATGAAATCATATAGCCAACCAAATATACATTTGGTCTCTATGATTAGAACCCTGCACAAAATAATTGTGGAAGGCCTTTTTAGCCAATTAATTTCACCTGGTTTAAGAGAATTGGAGTCAGCAAATATTGTGAGATCACCCAATGGAGAATTGCAAGTCTTTCCCTGAATATAAGACAGGTGCATGTTATCCCTTAGATTAATTTATTTCCCTGGTTTTCCTTTAGCCTGGGGCCATGTTGGTCAGCTCCTCTGTAATATGGATTTTTCTTTTCAAAAGTAATTTTCCTGCATCTGCTATCTCTGGATTACTGAAGATGCTGTTGTCAATTCATATAAAATCAGGAGGAAGAGGTATTTGGAAGGGTAACATGATATACTCATAGTTGCTTGGCCCATGCGGCCCAGGTTTGGCAAGAAGGACGTGGCAGAGACTTGGTAGAAGCCCTGAACCAGCAGGGATTGCTGTAATTGAATTCCTGGGCATCCCCTTTGCTGCTTTCTACCCCCAGGTGGACTTCTTTGCCTTTTTTTCCTCCTATTTTCTTTCTGGCTTCTATAAATAATCTACAAAGTGGACAATTGGCAGCCAGAAAATCAATTGGCCCTTATATCTTCTCTAATTAATTTCTCATTGTCAAACACTCACAAGGCATTTGTTAGGAAATAAACAAACTCTTCCACCTGTTATGGTGCTTTTGATAGATGACAAAACAAGGGTTCAGGGTAGAGCAAACGGGAAAAATTCTAGAACCAAGTCCACTGCCTAAGGCTTCCTCTTGTCTTGACTTTTATATCGGCAGAGACCAACATTTTTTTCCAAATAACAAATTACTAACATAAATAATAATTATTTGGAGTTTCATATATTATCTTTATTACTATCCATACTTTCTTTGTATGCTTAGTTTGGGGTTACAAAAGCAAACTGTGGGCATTATAGATAGATAGAAAATAAAGATGAAAATGATGTGAAAAATCAGGAAGTACATGAAAATTCCTTTGAAATATGCAAGTGAGGAGCACAGCAGGCACATATTAGATGCTCAATAAATATTTAACATATAAATACAATTTTCAAAAACAGCTCTTAATTATATTTCTATAATAGTTTAGAAGATAACCTATTTGCCTATGTTTGCCAATAGTATTAAATATTTTTCATTTTTTTAAATTTTAAAGGTAACGTATTGTTTCTACATGCCTATGAGAATGGCTAAAGTGAAAAAATTCACCGAAAATATCAAGTGCTGATGAGAATAGGAACAATTGGAACTCTTATCCATTGCTAGTAGAAATGCATAATTGTGCAGCAACTCTGGAAAACAGTTTGGCAGTTTCATAAAAAATTAAAGATATACTTCTTATTATACCCAGCAAGCAAACTTCTAAGTATTTTCTCCAAGACAAATGAAAAGGTGTGTTCCTACAAAAACCTGCATACAAATGCTTAGAGCTTTTCTGTACAAGAAAAAAAAATGAGAAGCATCTCACATGTCCTTCAATGGGGAAGATGGATAAATGAATTGGTACATCTCCAGGATGGAATACTATACAACAATGCAAAGGAACAAACTATCAGTGTCTGAAACTACCTGGATAAATTGAAAAGGCATTATGCTGAGTTAAACAAGCTAATTTTGAAAGATTACATGCTTCATGATATTCTCAAATCAAAGCTATAGGGTTTGGTGTGGGGGGATCATGTGGCTCTAAAATGAGAGAAAGTGGGAGATTTGGGGGTACAACAAAACTATTCTGTCTCCTAATTGTGCTGGTAGTGAAATGAACTTTTACACATGTTATAATTCCTACATTGTGCATTCTAAGAACCCGAATTTTGCAGTATGATAATTTTTAAAACATGAAAAAAATAATACTCTTATTGAATATTATTGAACAACAGGAAAATGTAAAAGAAAATTTAAAAGTTTTCACCATTGACTTCCCTGGGGGCTATATTGGTATCTGTGCTTTCAGAGCTTTCTGTACTGTTGGGACAGGTGGAGAGTCATTGGTGAAGCAGATGGTCTCAATTTGTGTTGCAGCCCTTCCATTTACTCATTGTAGCCCTGTGACCTTGAGAAAATTTCTTTACCCCTCTGTGCCTCAGTTTCCTTAAGTATATAATGGAGCCTATGATAGTTCAGGTGTTTTTATAATACCATGTATGTAGTTATATTTTAAATGTCCAAATGTGCTTCATGCAAATGTAAAATAACTTACGTTAATCATATAGTTTGGGAGTTTTTTTCATTTGCAATTTTATTATTATTATTTGCCATTATATTATTATTATTATTTTAAATTTATTTATTTATTTTTTTGTTGGTTGTTCAAAACATTACAAAGCTCTTGACATATCATATGTCAAGAGCCATTACATTATTAACATATGTCTCTGCCAGTATATGAAGATCATCCCAACTACTATGTATTCAGAAGGCTGCTTAGTAATCTATCACATATTATAATACATATGTGATTAATATAGATTATATAAATTATATATCTAATTTAATAATAAAATGTGATGTTATTTATCCTACTTAACATAATCAATATCAGTGATTTTCTTGTTGTTTTGGAAGTTTTTCTCTACCAATCCAATCTCAATGAGTTTTCTGTCACCCAGGACATATTCCAAACTTGATGGGTTATTGCTATGGCCTCCCCACTCCATCTCATTCTCTTTCTTTAAAAAACATTGTTTATGAACCAATGGGCTTTGGGGAGCGAAGTGGAGCTGTGTGAGTAGTTAATCCATGATACTGAACCATAAGCTCTTCCTATCTCCTAAGATCCCCTCTTACAAAGGAGTTAGGGGAAATATTGAGGTAGAGGGGAGCTGGTGAGAAAGAAAACTGGATTCTGGTCAGGAAATGTGGGTGTTCCATTCTGCATAGTCGTCTGTTAGCTGGGTGAAGTTGGGGATTCACTTTATAGTTTCTGGTTCTCAGTTTATTTGTTTGTAGAATGATATGGTTTGATGAGATGAACTCTTCCACCTTACCTCCATTACAAATGAGGAAACTGGGACTTACAGAAATGAAATGATTTGCCGATGCTCTAATAAGGCAAATGTAGAACTGAGCCTTGAACCCAGGTCTTCAGAGTTTGCATCATGGCTACACCAAGTGGACTTGAGCAATCCCACCTGGGAGCTGGGGACCTGAGGATGGAAGAGAGGATGCAGCCGTACGGAGTGCCTTTTCCTACTGGGTAAGCCCAAGGGTGTGTGGGGAGGATGCCTGTACACAGGACTGTCTTGGGGGGTCTTTGTCTCTGGGGCCTCATACCCTTGGACCCCTGTTGACAGGGCTGTGTTGAGAGGTCTCCTGTCCCTGTTTCCCTGAGGTGGGGTGGGTGGCTGCTCTCAGCTTGTCCCAGCACCGAGAAGACAGCCTGGCAGATGGTGGTTTGGCTGGCTGCACAGTGGTTGGCTTCCCAGCACTGACGAGCTTGGCTGTGCTCGTTCTGAAGTGGGTCTGACAACATTCCTCTCCTGGCAGCCATGTCTTCTCTCCTCCAGTCTTGTGCAAGCAAATGGCTTTGCAGTAGCTTCCCTCACGTCCTGGTGTAGGCTGAGATAGGAACATTAGTCCTACACATTAGCATACATTTCATGTATTTAAATCTTTTCACAAGCTCTCTCCAGATTTCATTCCCTCCTTCCTTTGCACAGGTTTCCCTTCCAGTTGCATAAACATAATTTATTTGTTTTAGTCAATTTTAGGATTATTAAAAACAAAACAAGCAAAGAAATCATCACTCCTCCAATTTACAAATAAATTTGCAAACAAAATCAAACCAATAAACACATGTATCCTATAAACCCATTGAAAGTGCTTTTTCAGCAAAATCATAACCAGCTGCATTTGTATGCAAGCTTCTGAGATTCTGATTTGTAGCTCTTCATTATTTTTGTCTCCTATATTCTGACCTTGTTGTTCTTTTTCCCTTCTCCACTTCTGGTTCTGTCTGTTCCCCTGGGTCTTATAGAATTATACAGTCTATCCAATCTACTTGTGACTCCAGGCCAGTCATTCCCAACTCTAGCTGTACATTAAAATCCCTTGAAAATATAATCTGTTTGTTTGATTCTAGGCATACATGTATTTAAAGGTACCCCAAGTGATTTGTAGATAAAAAAGTGATAAAGCATTTATAAATGGGATCAATCCCTTCCTTTCCCTGTCTAGCTAACCGAAACTTTTCCTCTTCCAGTAATTCTCAGAGAGGAAAGAAAATGTTGCAGACAGGTGGTTGTTGCCTTTAGAGTCTGGTCTGGCAGTGCTCATCACTGTGTCTGGCAGGGTGGTGGCCTTCTCTATGGGTTTTCATGGCATGTTTAGGGGCACAGGATGAACATAAGGTACAATAAGGTTTTTTGCTTATTCTTTTCTTTCTTTTGTTAAAAACAGATTTATTGAGGTATAAATTACTATACAAAATTCTGAACAGATATAATGCATACAATTTGATGAGCTTGGATACACACTGGTTACCACTATCAAGGTAATAGATATATATCCATCACCTCCCAAAACTTCCTTGTGCTGCAAGAACAATAACATGAATTCTACCCTTTTAACAGGTTTTTAAGTGCACAATATAGTGTTGTTAACTACAGGTGCAATGGTGTACAGAAGATCTCTAGAACACATTCATTTACATAATTGAAACTTTATGTACTTATTAAATGTCCCCAGAAGGTCCATATTTTGAAGACTTGGTCCTCAGCTAATGGTGCTATTGGGAGGTGGCGGAGTACTTAGGAGGAGGGGCCTAGTGGAAGGAAGTTAGGCCATTGGGGGTGTGCCTTCAAGATGATACTAGAACCTCAGCTTCTTCCTCTTTCTCTTTGTTTCCCAGCACCATGAGGTGAGCATCTCTGCTTCACCATGTGCTTTCCTCCATGATATTCTGCCTCACCTCAGGTGTAAAGTGACAGAGCCAAGTGACCATAGACTGAAACTTCTAAAGCCATGAGCCAAAATAAATCTTTTCTTCTTCTAAGTTGATTATCTCAGGTATCTTATCACAGTGATAGATAGATAACTAGTGCACCAATTGAACATCAGCTCCCATCTCTCTTGCATTTGTAATTCTAAAAACAGAAGATGAAATATGAATAAAATGCAAAAGGGGAAAAGAAGCTCTATTGCAGAAATTTGAGTGGGAAGATTTTGCTTCAGTCATTATACATTTCAGTACATATGGTATCGCTATTTTGAGTTCTTGTGGGCCTTGTTCTTTTAAAAATACTTAGGGACATCCTGGCTATAAAGACATGAGGCATTTTGCACAGGTTGTATGTTTAAGCTCATGGGAAGAGGATCATAAAGCGAATCTTTCATGTCCACCTTATGCTAGGTATTGAGAAAACTCTTTTCTCTTTGCCTAAGCACCTGTGTTGAATTTGGTAGCTGTGGTGTTTGGACTGATTTAGCAGTAATTAATCTCCAGGCTAATTATGAGCTCTGTTGTCATTTTGCTAGATGTAATTAAACTGCATAGCTGGAGAAAGTTTGGAAACTATGGTTTCCAAGAAAACTCTTCCCTGCAACTTGGCAAGGAGCTCAAGAGTGACAACATAATCAGCCAATTAAATATAAGCTGGAAGCCTGATGTCCTTCAGGATGAATTTACAAGAAGAAGACAAATGTATGTTCACAAGAGGCACCTGCTGTTTTACTGCTGTCTTTTTGGAGAGAGTTTGGAGTATTCTAGAGGTTTTCTTCCATTAATCCTTTTGATAGTTTTATTTAAGAGGAGGCAGGACAAGCATTTTAGACCTTTTCAAACAGATAAGATGAATAACATCATCAAGTTTAACTATCTTGTCAAAGGGCATCTTGACCATGAGTTAGAAAGGTTTTAATAATACATTTTCTTCTAAAATATGATACTTAGCTACACAGATTCCTATAATAGCTCTCAAATATATAAGAAAGTTAGACTAGCATGGAGATATGCATAGGTTCTTTGATAAATAAATTATTTAAGTTTTTTTGAGGTCAATGGTCTGCTTCTTTTTTTTTTTTTTTTATTTTTTTTTTTTTTTAGCTTCTAGGAAGAAGTTATGGACCCTGTGCCAACCATAAGCTAGTGGAAGGAAACGGTCTCTGGATCACACTGGCCTTGGCTTTGCTCAGCCAAGCTCATCTACTATAGAGTTTCCAAAAGTGTATGCAGGTGTGTATGTACTCCATTAGCCACGTTTAGGAATTCAGGATTATTTGGAGTGATACATGGACTCATATAGGTAGAGTTTTAAAATTATAGGGTATATTTCATAATTACCTTTTATTTATAACAAGACTTTTCTCTCACAATAGTAGAAAAATGGGTCCTTTTGAGAAGAAATTTATTTTATTTAAACTGAAAACTGTATAATATCATCAATTTTTAAATAAATGATGATAAGGTCAATATGTGAGCAGAGCCCATGTCATGAAAATGGCACATGAACGACTAATGTTTGGGAAACAGGAACCTCTATCATTGTTTCCTAGTCTTGTACAGAGGTCTATTTCCTTGATTCATGTGTTAGTCAGCTTTTCATTGCTGAGAGCAAAATACAAAAACAGCTTAGAAGAGAAAAAGTTTATATTAGACTCACAGTTTCAGAATTGTGAGATGCCAAGAAGGGCAACTGTCTGATCCCAGGGGCAGATTTGCTGGAGTCGCATGGCTGAATGGAAGGATCCTTAGAACTTAACAACAGTCCACTGGTCGGTGGAAGTCAGAACTACTCAGACCTTCTTCTACTGAGTTGATTAAACATGGTTTACATTAATATGATAATGGAAATTTATTTATTTAAACAACAGAATTACTATCACATTTTAAAGGTTTCCTCTGCCTTGATAATATCCGATTTTAAGCAGGTTTGATAGTGATTGCATCATAGAACCAATTTATTTTATCTTGAAGAATATGTATATTGATGTCAATTCAGACCATTCCATAATTCAAAGTAGTACCTCTCCATTGTGACATTTACAGAAGTATTTTAAATACTACAAGGATATCTGATTAAAGTGTGCAATGAATACACTTTCAAGTGTTGTTAGCCAAGGCCTGATATTTGAAATTTATAGATACATATATTATTCTATTTATTTTTCTTCTGTTTCCTGGTGATCCCAAACATTTAACCATGTTCCCTTCCTGACACCTGTACTACCATTACTGTATCAAAGAATGCAGACCTTACCCAAGCAAACCCTCAGAGTTGTTTACTGATGGCAGACTCAGTTAATTCTTCTCAGATAGTACAAACAGTCTGGAGAGGCTCCTTTTTGTTGATTTGTTTCCAAGAGGACTTGCTGGAAACTGCCCGCCTCTGTGGTTTCATTTCACAATTTTTCTTGGCTACATTTCCCTTTGCACATCCTATTTATTATCATCTTATTTATCCCAGGCTTACAAATCAATCCATCAATTAACAAGTACTTGTTGAACATTTTTTTTTTTTTTATGGTAGGCATGTGTTGTTTGTCTTGCCTGGAAAACATTCCCCTCTCTTATAGTAACTGCTCTTCATGTTTCCTCTGGGAGAAATGTCCTTCTGCAATTCTTGGTCATGAGCTTTAGATGCCCATCCTGCCCCAGTCACAGGCATGTGACTTAGAATGGCTAGCCAATATATTCCATTCCTCCAACCCTAGTAACTCATATGGCAGAAGACACACAACCTGAAATATTCTATGTGGGACAAATTTCATGACTTTTTGCTAAAATTTGGGGGAAGAGAAGCACTTTTTCTGTTAGTGTTACTAATCAGATACAATATTTCAGGGGCTGTCTTTAATCCCACTAAGAAGGTCTTTGGGTAGTGAAGCCCCAATGAAGAAAAAAAAAATTCCAGAGCCTGGAATTAAGAGGAAAAATTTTAAGTGTTCCTTAGAAAACCTGATCCAATATCAGGCTTGTTTTATCAGTTTTGCTGCTGTGACTAAAAGAACAATTGTAGAGGAGGAAAAATTTATTTGAGGGCTCACAGTTTCATATGTCTCAGTCCATAGAAGGCTGACTCCATGCGTAGGGACTCGAGATGAGGCAGAACATCATGGTGGAAGAATGCAGCAGAGATGGCTAACATGATGATCAGGAAAGGGGAGGAGGGAGGGTGGGGTAGAGGGAGAGAGAGAGAGTAGTTACGGATCTCCTCTTGTCAGATACAAACATATACCCTATAGCCATGGCCCCACCTG